GGCCGTCACGAATTTATGTCTCTACCTTTTTCTTCTTCTTTTTTTTTTGTCCAACGGCTGAACGAAGCGCAACGTCCGCGCTGTCGTTCCCGTGTGTGAACACGAGGTGTCCGAGAGCCCTAGCTGTGATCAGCGGCCACATTCGGTATACAATACCTATTATCGAAGTACGTTTTTTTTTGTCGCGTTTTGTTAATAGTCGCCGCGATACGTACTCGTTGTTACATCGAGTGACATAGTAAAAGTCGCGTGTGAACCTGCCTGTTTTGTCCGTCGTGATCGACGTGTGACGTTAAGCTCGCATCGAGCCGCGTTTTCGTGTACTTACGCCGCGCGCGTGTTTTCGTTTACCCTCCGCGTGATCGCGAGTGTTTTGCCCCACGGTAATACATAAATACTATTTTAATTCGCGTTCGCGCTATTCGCGTGGAACCACGAGCCGAAGATTTGTCCACCGTCGCCGTTCCGGTGAGGGACCGATATTGGTCGTACCAAGGATAGCCGTAGTCGCGGAGCCATACCGTCACCGAGCCACGCAGCCGCCGAGCCCCGCAGTCGCCGCAGTCAGGTCCAGTTGTTTAGTCCCACGTGTCAGTGGGTTATTTATAAAATAATTATTGTTCACCAGCTATGGTATGTTAGTTTTAAGTTACTTATTATTATTAGTTAGGGCGCCCGCTAATTAATTATTCATTTAGCGCAAATATACGTGTTTACGACCCTAAACTTTGACCATATTGTACAAATTGAGTAACCTGTCCCCGTTTCAGTTTACAACACATTACGCGAGTCGTTGCCGACAACCGCACAACTCGTAGGATCGGTACCGGCGCCAACAGTTTGATATTTCATTATTGTACATAAAATGTTATATATGTATATATATTTAGATATAAATATGGCATCCTTTAATTTCAAATTAATTTTGGTATAATATGTACTTTTTCGGTCATCAAAGACACTATTTATTCAATATTAAAAATATTTTAATATTTTTTTTTATTAAAATTATGTACCTACTTACCCATTTATTGTATTTTTAGCACAAATCCTTATAAGGATATGGATTGCACCATTAGCGTAAAATATATACATATAGGTAGTAATGGATGAATATTTAAAAAGAAAATAAAAATTTCTATTTATATAGATGTGCCTAAAGTTATAGGAACTTATAAAGCACCCTTTAGTTCAAAATACATTCTGGAATTTCTAATCCTAACTTTGGTTTTTTAAAATTTTTGTGATATGTTAATATATATGTTAGATATTTTATTTACATATTAACAATACCAACGTTTTGGTTCAAGTTCGGTCTCTATTTTGTCTCTTGATGGCATTATAAATATACCGTAGATATTGGTTTACCACAGTCATTCAAATAGTATGCAAACTATCAGTTTAGTTTTGAATTTGGGCAAATACAGCATAGAAAGTTAAATTTATTGGTATAATCTAGGTGGTCACTAACGTCGAAACAAAAAATTTCCGAGATGAACACAAAACACTGTATCATTAAAATAAAATTTGTTTATAAACCGAGTTTTCAAATAATTTAATTGTTGTACATAACATTTAAATTGTAGAGTAACAACATTTATTTTCTTTTAAATATTTAAGTTGTAACGTGACATAATTTTATTCGGGTAAATTGGTACGAAAAAATTGTACGTAATAATATCATGCTTTTATTATATTTATTGTTATCCAAACGTGAGTAAATTACATTTGTGCATTCAGACTGTAGTAGAAACTACTTGACGATCGATTTCAATAAAAATTAAGCGTTTTTTGTTAGGACTCGTGGAGTCTCATGGACTGCAGTGTTTCGTTTTGTTATCGGTCTTGTGATAGGAAGGATGTGCCCGTCGTAGTTGAACGAACAGCTTATCTGATGGCATTATTGAACATTTTCTTGTTTTTTTCGTCCCAGAGTTGCACCGGATAGTTGTTCCAAATTCTTGGAATTTGTTGGTAGGACCCGGGAATGCCATACATGCACGTGGAATGTAATACTTCTTTTACAAAAAGCAAAACTAATTCCACCACAATGTTTTACACGATCGTTTTCTTCGTTTTAAAGTCATATGATTAATGTTTTCAAACAATTTCATACTACTAAGGTTAACTCAACTGGTTGATAATAGTAGTTTTTGCTGTAATATATAATGAAAATCTGGCTATTTCATACTGATTACTATACTGATTACTAATTACTACTACGCATCTATCGGAATAATCTTCCTTGCTTTAATTATAACTCAAAAAATAATAATCATAGGAATATGAAATGTTAACACAATATTTATATTACCGTTTTATATAGGTTACATTATTTTTAAAATTGTTTTTAAATAATCTTGATGATTTTATATTTTAGATGATATAATTTTAATTGATAAAAAGATTTGAAAAATTGAGCTTAATTTCAAAATAAAATTTAACAAGCGTATGCATAATAAATACGTATGCGATAATAATTACGAAATTTCACTAAATTTTTATAATCAAATATTTCTAAAATTATCAATTTTTACTTTATACTTGAAAATTTAATAAAAGATTTATAAGATTTTCATTGTAGCCAACAAAAAAGTTTACTCGAAATATGCAAAATTGATATATAAGCGTTAAATAATTAAATTTTAAAAAAATTTGCAAACCATTAAACTTTCAATAGCTTTAATTAATATTTTATAAATTTAGTTACAGACATTTTATAGTTTTGAAGTATTTTAATGAAGGTTATTAAGAGATCCCCTTTGGGAATAAATGTTTTTTTATTTTGAATTTTAAAACATTTTAAAGTTTGGCCAACCTTATTATAAAATGTTATTCTTCTACTATATCCACTATCTTAAGATTTATGAGCTCATCTACTAGACTTTTTTTCACTCGAATCATTTTTTTAATAGCAATAATTCTTTGGTTTCAATTTTAAAAAACCAATATACCAATATAAAAGAATATAGTTCACTCATCTTTTTATTTCTCCTTAACTTGGAGTTTCAATTTCAAATTTTTGTTTTTTTAAATTTAAAATTAAATTAAAAATATTTACTAAGTATATTTCCGATGCAGGTAATTTTCATTGTAATAAAAATCCAGTTTCGTTTACTTTTTTATGTATTAAATACATTTTATCTATTATACTGCAGGTATTTATTACACATATTTTTCATTACTAACGTGGGTCTTTTGGTCACGAATTGCATTTTTTTTATCGTAATACAACGCGGACGACCGTGACATAAATAAATTCCAACGTAGCAATAAAGTGCAATAAAATCGTTTTTTTTTCATCCCAAAAATCTATTCACCTATAAATGGCAAAAACCGGGTAATACTATTGAATACCTCAAAAATACAACATATTTTATAAATATATTTATAAAGAAAGATGTGATAAATTCACATTGTGTACTTCTGATTATTTTTTTGTAAATATGTCTCGAATAAATATTCGTATTTAATTAGTAACGCTCATACTGATATACGGATCTTTCTTCTATAAAATATTATACTATTAAACCTTGCAAGGCCAAAATAGTTTAGATTTTTGATAGTTATTTCTATATTGATAATTCTTGTTTTCATTTAATTTGTTCCAAGTATCATTCTATTATAATATTGTATTATTTTATATATATTTTTGATCTTAATAGAGAATAAAACTACGCTCATTGGCTGTTGGCGTTAAGTAACTGATATACGATTTTCCAGGTAGATGTGTTTAAATAATTGAGGGTCAAGTGGTGGTACTTTACATAGGCTTCATTCGAGTTAAATCGAATCCACTTGCTATCTACCTAACGATAGAAAAAAAAAAATGAACGTTTATTATAGCCATTTTATTTTCTTTGAGATGAGAACGCTATACTGAATTCGTTTAAATTCCGTAAAAATGATAAAATGCACTCAGTAAACGTTTTTTTTTAAAATCCAGAAAATTTCTTTTTCCTTTTTCATTTAAATTTTCTATACGGCCGAGTTGGCGCTGTAAACATGCACACCTTGAATTCATTAAATTCATACAATTATTTTGTTTCATTGAATTTTTTTCGTAAAAATTCTATATATTTTCTGAATTCGAAATTTTCAGATAACAATTTCGAGTACAAATCCTTTACGCCAAACATATTAGACATACTCAATTGTTTTGTAACATTAAATTAAAAGTTTCTGATTGAAGTACTACAAATGCTATAAGTACATGACTTATAACTAATAACAAACCTAATTATTGTCGTTTTGCAGGATCGAAAACTACATGATTTTTCATAAAAATGCACGTGCATTATAATTATATAACTTCATTAGGATGAACAAATAACACAAATTAAAACAGTTTTAACATTATCCAAAATCAAAAAGACCGGATCGATACGTGCTGAACAATATATTTTAATTATACTTTGTCCGATTGAAGTGGCAAATGAACACACATGTTATGAAATGATTTTATACTGTTATAAAAATCGTTTCGGTGACTTAAGCGAACAGGTGTGGTGTCCAGCGTAAGGTAATGCTTAGTGGTTAGAGATAATCTCATTTTTCATCGATGCCGGCACCGCGCGGCCATTTATCCGTGTACATATATATATAATGTATCTCTATAATAGTTATAATACACGTCGGACGTTTTTCGTGAAATGTAATTTCCGAGATAAAATACATTTTATTATTAACGAAACCCCGAAGAGATGAAAATGGAAAGAAAAAAAACGTTTAAAAATTCTCCTCGTCTGACTTATGAGGGGGGGGGAACTATTGAATGCATACGTTCGCCACCACCTGATATCTTAACCTAACCTACCCTGTTGATCGGTTGAGAGTTAACGTGTGTGCGTGTGTATATGTACACATTTACAATATTTGTATGTGTAATGTACACGCCAGAGGCGATCGGGTCATCGGGTGCAGTCGGTACACGCACACGCATGGCGTTACCGCCGCCGCCGCCGCCGCCGCCACCGAGGTCTTTCGTGGCGGTCGTGTTCACGCGTGCGTCACGTTGACACACAGCCGAGCTTTGGCGCTATTCGCGTCCGTTCAAGACCAGAGTGAATTGGCATTTTGCACGAGCACACGGTTTTCGCTCCGCCGCCGGTCACCGCCCGTCGTCCCGTGTCTTTTCGTCCGTGGTACCATCCGGTTACCGTCGTCGTCGTTTCTTCTTCCATTTATTTATTTATTTATTTTTTTATCCATTTTCATTTTTTTCTTCTTGATTTTATTCCGCGTCTATTTCTAATCGCCGTATAGTGCGCGTCCATCGTCCGTGGGGTCATGTTTTTACCGTTCGTGTGTGCGTGAATGCAGATGATCACCGACTTCTAGAGGATTCTACGGTCTCGGATTCCTCGGGCCAAAGGATTTACGGAATAATCTCAAGTTATCGATTTATCGCGTGAATATCGCGGTAATACGGTTGGCCGCCGCCGGATTTTCAAATTTTTTTTCGTTTACAAGTGCGTGTTACGATTGGTCGATTTTCTAGTGGAATTCCGACCGCGACGAAGGAATCCACCGCCGTCGCTGTAGTGGTTTTCGATAATGTCAAACGCTTAAACAAGTATCGTCACAATACGAACAAAAGTAAGTCTCATTGTCATTTCAACAACATAATTATATCATCACGACGTGAACATCGTGTACATGTCGTGTACACCAGTGATTCTCGACTATAGGGTTGCCAATAATTTTAAACGGATCGGCTAAAATTTAAAACGTTGATATAATATTTTTATTTTTTAGTATTTTAAATAATAAATGAAACCGTTTTCGTAAATTCTTCTAAGATTAACCATTATAAGTCATTCACAATATTGATAATTGGTACTAGGAAGCTTAACATATGTATACGTTTCTGTTAATGTCAACTGATAAAGTATATTTATAGCTATAAGTATTTAATAAGTTTTTCACCAGTATATTTCTTAGTTCCAATTATCAATGCAGTGAACGTCATAATGTCCTATTTGTGTAGTCGTGAGATTAACGTCAACTTATCCTGTACCTAGTACGAAATGGTCGTTAGCATTAGTATAATATTATTCGTAAGTTAACAAATAATTTTCTATACCAACTTAAATTTAAAAATATATAATGAGTAAACAGACATCACTCTCAACTTTTTTAAAAAAAACCTATGGTTGTTAAAAATAATGAAAATGAAATGATGAAATCAAATACAAATGAACAAGAAATAGAAATGGACGAAATGCCTAGAAAAAAGGTAAAAACATGGATGAACTACATCGATAAATACACTGATAAATATATTAGTTATGGGTTTACATAGATAAATGAAAACTAAGTAGATTTGCCATAATATGTTATTTGCAGTATTGTACTAGCAAATGCTTCTTTAAAGCCAAATAAATTTATACGGCATATTGGAACTAATCATAATATAATACAGAAATAAAAATACAGATTTTTTTTTTTTTAAAGAAGACGTGGTGAGTTAAAGATAATTAAAAAAAAAAAAAATATTAAATCATGTACTAAAGTTGACAAGGTGTATTTAAAATGTTCTTTTATTGCAGCTTTATAAATTGCTAAGACAAAAAGTCATATAATATTGGTGAAAAATTAATTAAGCCTTGTATGGTCAATATATGTTCAGAACTATTTGGTAATGAACACCTCTCAAAAATAAAAATTATTCCAATGTCTGACGACACTATTCATTGATGAATTCTTTGTATTGCTAATGATATCGAATGTTAGCTCGTTGAAAAAATAAACAAATCGTTATTTTATGCTATACAATTGGACGAATCAAGAGATATAAGTAATTCAACTATATTCTTAATTTATGTTAGGTACATTGATGATACATTTAACAATATAGAAGAAGATTCTTTATGCACCTTAAAGTTGAAAATATTTACTATAGCAGATGACATTTTTAAAATAATACAGTGGTGTATTGAACTAATTTTTGGTGAAAAGCAAAAATGTATATACCATAAGGTACACTATATTCATCCTAACGGCATTTCTACCATAGCAAAACATATACAATTCAAAAAATATACGTTTATTAGATCGATTTGTATAATCAGATGTACTTAGTTAATTATCTAGTAAATTTATTACACTCATTAATTATTTTGTATCTTGATCAATGCAGTGTATGTGAATTTTGAATTATGTTATTAACATTAGTATTGCAATTAGTTAGTACCAATTGTTTCTAGTGTAACGGATCATATACACTACATTTATGCGCTAAATATTTACTATCAATTATAACATTTAATATGATGTTATGATATATCTATATTATTTTTATATTTATTGTTAAGTATTTTTTGGCAGGGGGGCAATCCACCTACCAAACATTTTGAAGGAGCAATTGCTCCAAAATAATATCATCACCACGCCACTGAAACAATGAATAATTATATGATGTTTAAAAATATTAACTGGACTTCTTGTATTGGAATTTGTACATATGGTGCAACGTCTATCACAGGGGTGTATTTAGACTTACTTCTAGGGGGGGACGTCTCGAATATCTTCTTTAATTCAGACTCAAAATGCACAAGTAAAATGTTTGGTAATATTTAAATCAGTTAAGTCCTTAATATTCGTGTTTTTTTTTTTTAATCTAATGCCTGATTCACTTAGAGTCGACTTTTGTGTAGTTATTTTTTAACAGCTGTCTGTGTTTTAAAAGTTACGCTTGTATTTTATTTAATTTTTTACTAAGTATGGACCTGACATAAAGCCCAATTCAGTTTTCACAGCCACGCGTAATTTGATTTCGTTATAAAATTATCCACATTAAAAAAAATTGAAATATGTATCTCACATATAATCAATTCCTTAAATACGGATTGAAGGGAGGGACGATCGCCCCTTTCCCCTAAAATACACCCATGGTCTATGACAGGGATACATTCAGCTGTAGTATCATGCGTTAAAGATATAGCAAATGCACATCTAAATTCATTCTTTGTTTTATACATCGAAAACTGTAAAAGATATGGATGAAATATCAATGATATTTTAAGCCAATATACAACAGTTATAAATTGTATTCGTGTAAGAGTCATTAATTCTTATATATATTTTCTGTCGTGTGTAAAGAAATATATATGTACTATACAATTATTAAAAGAAATGTTTATTTTTAAATATAATGTAATTAATATTATGATCTATTATTAGCATAAGTAATATGAGTAAAAAAAAATGTATTGTTTTAAAGTACCCAATAGTTATTTTTTATTTCTCCATTGAACTTTATTTATAAAAAATTTGCTAAATATTTGGGGTCGTCACTACACAAAAGTTGAGAACTGCTAGTGTAAACTTAATTTAACTGTTCGTCTAGAGGTGCCCGACTAAATACATGAGTAAGGGAAACAATGAAAAAAAAAAGATGAGACATTTTTATAATATTTTCAATTTTTTTACCATTAAATTTATTCTTTATTCCGTATGAATTTGATTGTCATTTGTTATATTATTAAATATGGTCTTCATTTAAACTAAACGCTTACTTTTACTTTTCAAATATGACAACCAATATATTGGGTGAACACCGTTGGATCATGAGAATTAGAGTATGTTTTAGAGATTTTCGTATTTCCAATCGCAATAACGGCGATTATAATTAATAAAAAAATATGATTTCAAAAATTGTTTGCATTTTTAATTATTTTTCTAACTTGTAATAGATTTTTATAGCTAAATAACTCGGAAAATTGGAGAATCCTGTAAAATTGAATTGTTCGTATATTTAGTAAAATGCTTGATTGGACAACATAACTAGGAAATGTAAATATATCGTTGAATAACGGCATTGAAAAAACGAGGTGCAGTCAGTGGACCAAATAAAATTAAGTCAAAAATATTTTTGAGTAGTGCAATATAAATGAACATCAAGATTGAAATGTTTATTCTTAAAACACATTTCTTATTCATTTTTTTCTATTTTAATTTAATTCTCAGATATGGTTAACCTTATGAAATGTGCCTAGTTTTTTTGCTATCATCCAATAATAAATACTATTGCTTTAAATTTTAAATTTATATTGCACACTAAATTATCTCAATACAATTATGATATCCTAGATCCTTGTTACAATATCTTCACTTATGAAAATATAAATGTTTTACACTATTATTTTACATATTATTATATTTAATATTTCTGTAATGAATCTTGATATAATATTATCATTGATCATAAACACAAAACATATAATATAATTTTTTTTTTAGAATTATCATATTTTATTTTATTTGAAAACGATTTGATCAGGCAATTTATTTTAATTTTATATTATCAGTCTTTCTGTTGTTTATGATATTATCAATAAAAAACTATTGTTTTATAAAAACAAAAAAAGGTTGTAAACTGTTAAAAATAGACGTTTAAACTCTATGTATGATACATGTAGCAATAAATATATTGAAAAAAGGCCGAATTAAAAACTAATGGTGCCCCTGGAATTCGTTAAAAATTAGCTCTCTCCAAAAAAAAAAAAAGCTTTAATTCGAATAATAACTACTGAAAACTATTTGATTGCATACATTTTATTTTTTATATTAGGTGAAATTCCCAGTGTTTATTAAATAATGAGTTTTCTTTATAAGTTCTAGTTATATTTAGTTTTTAATTTCGATATATATACTATCATACTTTTTTTTATATTAAGAACAATGAAACTTATAAACTTCTACAATTATAAAACGGAAACGTAAGGTATCAAAATTATTATTTATCAATAGAAAAATAAACTAACTATATTGTATTCGATTGCATTTTCTTTAATATCAATCATTTGGATTTATTCAATAAGATGGTAAATGTTATAATTTAAATAAATAATAGCTAGTAGCGGGTAATTCCTTTGAATTCTTGTAAATTTATTATTATTAATTATTATAATAATATTATTGTATAGATACTTACCAAATCGTTATGTTTGTAGTATATTCTTTGCAATTGAGAAATTGGACAAAATTATTATAAAATGTATATAGTTTAAAATTAAATTTTAATCTTATATAAAATAAAATCTATCTACTTAAATAAATATAATAAATAGGAGTCTTTACAGAATTGTTACAGACTATGTATATATATATATATATATATATTTAATATCTTAAATTATAATGATCCCTCAATGATACACCGTGACATACTATGTACTGTGATTATTAACAACAATTTTCATATATTACCATTTTATTATAAATTATGCATCGATATTAAATCGTTAGTTTATGGAATTGTGACTTAACATTATTACTCAATTCTTTTATTACATAGTCAGTATTCATAGATGTTAAGACTAAGGATGGACATAGAATCTGAAGATCTAAATTATCCGAATTTTCGGATATTCAAATCCGAATTTCAATCAAATTTTCATTCTGATCCGGACTATCTGGATTTATAAATTTGCTTTTTATATAACTTATAATGATTTTTAATTTCTATTAAAATAAAATATTTTATTTTATTGTAACAACAAATTAATATTATATTTTATGAATTTCAGTATACTTATCATGACTTCGACAGTTTTTATAATTTATTATTAGTTACCAAATAATAATTTATTTTA